TTAGCCTCTGGCGCTCAAATTGGCAAATTAAGTCATACGCCCGCCCGGCCAGCTCTGCAATTTATCTACCGAACCGTATTTTTTGGCTGCAGTTTCTCATTCTCATTGAGTCCGGGTATTATTATTTTGCAATAATTATTGATTTATTGTCTTGTTTGCCGTCCGTCGGTCAAATCAAAGCGCCGCCACGGCCATTATCATGTGCATGCGAAAACTTGGAACAGTTCTTGGTCGCAGCTCGAGTTCCCAGGCCTAGACCAATGGTCTGGGCTGACTGAAAATCATTAGTAAACGTGGCTAATGATGGGCCGGTCGGCCGGCCTGCGACTTGGTAATTGGAAAGGCACGCACATTAGGGCGTAGTCGATTTTTACGGCTAGAAAGTGAGGCAATTAACCCAAGGGGGCATAGGGATACGACGAACTGAAGAATCAGAGCTGGGATTTAAGACCTTTACTTTTCCCTTTTGGCGGCTACCAGGCGTGCTCAACGTATTAATATTTCACGCCCTTCAATCGCGGCCTAAACTAGTGCAGAATCTGGCCGAAAGGTGAATGAAAGGTGTCTGGCCGATATGGCCAAATCGGAACTCAGTCAGGCTAATGGAAATTCATAAGTCATGCGGCGGCCTAATGGCTTCATTCGATTTTATACGGAGTCATTATTTGTAGTAAATTCTCGATAATTTCTAATTTGCATATCGGATAAGTCTAAGGCTACACGGAGAAAAAGGTGCAGACTTTATAACTTTATTAAGTGAAGGGTAAATGCATATTGTAATATAGTTCGCATATAAAAAAAACTACTTTTAATAACTTAAGTTTCATTTAAAAACTTTTTGAATTTAATGCTTATTATTTTCTCTGCAGCTAAACTAGTTTCCTGCTCCTTATGGATCATGGTAATTTTTTCTCATTGCCCCTTCCTCTGATATAAATAAATGAAATTGAAAAATATTTGTAACGCCTTATTATATAAAATGTGCTACACATTTGTTAGGCCATTCGGTGGAAACAATTTCCATTTCCTGACTCGACTCCACTTCGATTCGATGCGAGCCTTCTCCTGGGTTGGGGACGCGGGACAATTGCTGGCTGCTTTCTTGCTGTTCACGTTTGTGGCATGAATAAACCCACTTATCTAATTGCGATTCCGGGAAACTGGTTTTCTTTGATACATTTTTCTCAACTCATTAGAACTCAATCATAACTCGGGACTCCGGACTCTCGGACCCTGGCAAAACTCGGCTCGACTCCGACTCGTTTTTGCCTTGGTGCAGCAATAGGCAAATGTAATCGCTGCTACATATTTTTCAGCCGACGCGCGCAATTGTTGCCGTGAGCAATTTTTTATGGCCAGCCAACGAGGCAGCAGCAACAACACCACCAAGTCGGGAACGGCAACAAGAAATATAAAAAAAGACTCTGGTGGGGAGGGAAAAAAAGAGCAAAACACGCCGGACGTGTTCCATAAACAACACTTTGATTACGACAACGCGGGCGCACAAACGCAAATCGATGTTTTCATATGGAAATTGAATCAAAGTCAAGTCCCGAGCTCCGAGTATCCCAGAATATGGAGCACGGCAGCAACTAGCAACATGTGTACTCCGATCGGGGGTCTACAATTGAAGTCATGCACTGGAAATAATATTCTTAGCAAATTTATAGATGAAAGCGGAAATTTATCCAATAGAGAAATTTATGGTAAGACAAGAAAGGAAGCTATCGAAATTTCTATAACCTTGCAGTGAAAATCCATCATAATTCAGACAAGTATTGATTTATTAAAATTCGAAAAGGTTAATAAATCTGCTTTAAACTTTTAAAAATTCAAATTTTTGACAATTTTTGACAATTTTAAACAATTTTTAACAATTTTATCAATTAAAAAGAATGGGATCTTTTCGAACCTGGCTAGATCAACTCCCCTGTTGATGCTGACCAAGAATATTTATGATTTATAGGGTCGAAAATAACTCCTTTACTTTCAAATTGAAATACTAAATAAATAAGTATCTTTAAGATACCATGCACAGTATCTTTCAGATACTCTTGGTAAAAAGTTACTTAAGAAGAATGAAAAATTAGTGTAGCACTTTTCTCAGTGTACGAACAGATCGGTTGGAGCTTGGAGCTCAGAGCCAGCCCAATTGGCCTTGATGTGAACTGAGAGTCGAGAGTCGAGAGCTGGGAGCTGGAAGCTGGGAGCGGACCATGGCGTCAGCGCTTTTGTGGCCAGCAAAGTTGGCTTTTGCCAGTAGCCAAGTCTTCTCGGATGCAGAGCAAAAGGGGGATCCGGCGGACCCTGGGCTGGTCTTTTGTGGTTTTAGCTATGATTATTAATCAATTCTTTCATATCACTTCGCCTGAATTGAATTCTTTTTACGAATCGTTTAAAAGTATGTGAATACAAAGGTAGCTGAGGCTGCGGCCGCTGCTGTCTGGCAGCCTTTTTACTCTAATTAATTCAACAAAAGTTTCTGGGCCGCCTTTTGTCCGGCGTTTTCCGCTTACTGGCCCTGCTGCTGCTGTTGCTGTGAAAGGTAGCGTTCATTATTCGGATGTTTATGTTTATTAAATTCCATTTAATTACTCCAGTCTACATACGCACACATTGTAACGCAATTTCAATTGGTTATTAAATGCAAAAAAATCGAGGAAAAAGAAATCATAATAATAATTGTTTATTAATGGAAAATAGCCTTTTCGATTGGCATCTGGAAAAGGGCAATCGATTCGAGTGGATGTGACCTCAATATACATATGTGATTGCCCATGGCGCAAGTGAATGGTTTAAGAATTGCTCAAGTCGGATCGTTGAACTAAAAGGGAAATAAATTAGCATTGGGCGGAAATAAAACGATATTTTAGAGATAAACATATGCTATTTGCCAAGCTAAATGTTCATAAATCGTATTATTGCAATCGATAATTCATGAAATGATTAAATTTGATTAACCAAATCGATTTCAAGGCTGAGCACTCGATATTCATTACTATACGATATTTTTCGATATCACATTCGATTTCTCTTCCTGCTATATATACATCCCTCTACCGATTTAATTGCTATCGTAAATCTTGTTGCTATTTGCATAGCATTTATTCCACTGGAGCCTAGTAATTTCGCGGACAGGAAGCACTTCCCATGTCCAAGTCCCCGACCTGTCTGCCACAGGTGTCGAAATTGACAGATGAGCTGAACGCAGGGCACTAACCGGAACTCGGGTAGCGAGATTGCAACGGGCGTGGCTGGTTCTATAAAAGAAAAAATCATCCCGGACCCCATAGTGAAGATGCTGAAACCCAATCCCGCAGAGGAGCGGCGGAGTCAGCGCGACTTCAATTTAAATTTTAATCGCATGCCTAATAGACAAACCTGGGGTAAATGTCAGAATAAAGAGACTAAGAGCCGACTTAAATCATGCCAACATTTACAAAGTACTTTGCAACAGCTCCGACTCCGTCTCCGACTCCATCTCTGTCCTGGCCCAGGAAGGGGCTCATACGAGTGTCTGCGAGTCACGGCCACGTCGTCAGATATGGCCACAATACAGTATGGCTATGGCAGTATGGTGTGGTATGTAAGTTGAAGATGGGCCAAGACAAACTTCCGATCACGTTGTAAGTCAGCAGCGAAATTGCAACAGACTGCGACTGGGCAAAGGGTCTCTGGTCTCTGGTCTGTGAGCCTGAGACTCTAAGCGGCCAGAGAGAGAGAAAAACATAATGGAGGCAAATGCATCAAAATGGTTAATTGGATCTGGAACAGCAAATGACGAACACTTTTAGTGTTTATGGCAGTAGCCCAGGCCCAGGCCCAAGTCGGGTTCAGGTCTACACAAGGAGAAAACTGGGTACTTTCAAATATCCTTACATTTTAACCCTTCATTATGAACCCCTTAAAGTTTTATAAATCCAAGAAATTATTAAATAATAAAGGAATACATATTTTTTTAACCTTCTAATCTCTATAAATTTCCATAAGAAGGCAAGACAATTTCAAGTTGAGATACCAACTGACCCAAGTATATTAAAGTGCAGATTCAGATTCAGTTTTAGGTCCAGATTCAGGGATGAGACTGCCAAGGAAGATTGCGGCAGATAGGCTGCAGCGAATACGTGGCTCCGATCCGATGGTGCTGATGGGTGGACGACGACGACGACGACGACGCAGTAACTGGAGGCGGGGGCCTTGAATCGCATCTAGGAGATGCGGCAGCATCTCAACTCCGCTCATCTCAAGTGGCAAGCGTGTTGTACACGACACGCATTAGCGTGAATGAAGCAGTTCTCGTCTCGTACTGGGCTTTGCCATTTTTAATCGAATCCAAAGCGTTGAGAGCCAGCCGGAGCCTGGCCAACTTCTGCGTCTCAGATGGCCAGACAAATGTGAGGGAAAATTAATGGCAAGCGCTGCAGTAATTTCCATTAAAGTGGGTCCAGCTCCGAAAATGCACTTGTTGCTGCTGGCCGAGAGCAGCGCCAAGTAAGGCGGCGAGGACTTCCGTGTTCCATACCGAGCCAGGCGAAATGGTAATGGGCCAATATGATGGCCTCCATGAGCTGCCTAATGGGCCGCTGCTCTATGATGGCTTAGCCAAAGACGAGGCCCACCTCGCCTTGTGTGGATTTGGATCTGGTCGATCCAAAATGAAATCGGCCATAAGAAGTACATAAAAACGTTAAGCAGGAATAGTGTTAGTAGTAGTGCCTGCTGCATTCCTTCCCCTCGTTCATATATCATGTAGTATATCGCCCCTGGCAACAAAGTTTGTTTTTATTTACGGTCCCATATTGATTTAATTCCATGCCCACCCATGACTTGGCTCACTTGCCAGGGAGAGCTCGAGTGTCTAACATGGATTCCGATTGTAAGTTGCCTATAAATATCTATTAATTGTTGTTTAAGTAAATATAAAACAAACCTAAAGTGAGGCACAAACTTTAAAAACTACTAACTAAGTTTAATTATTATTATTCAATAATATTTTCTAGTAAACAACGACTTAGAGAAGCGCATTTCCGATGCCTTCTGTGTCTTTGATCACCATGGCGACAAGTTCATTGATGTCCGGGAAGTGGGCACGGTTCTCCGTCTTTTGGGCTGTGTGCCCACGGAGCAGGAGGTGAATGAGGTGATCTCTGCCACCGAATCGGAGGAGACTAGCGGCGAAGTGCACTTGACCAAGTTTCTGCCCCATGTCTCCCAGTTGCTTATGGAAAGAAAGTGAGTTGAACTTATATATCCCTTAGTTTATCTTTCACACCATTATTCTTCAACAGAATGGAGCCTGCACCGCCGGAGAAGATTCTACAGGCCTTCAAGATCCTGGATCCGGAAAATAAGGGATATCTGACCAAAGAGAGCTTTGGCAAGCTAATGATGGAGGAAGGCGAACCCTTTACCCAGGAGGAAATGGATGAGATGTGGCCAGTGGCCATAGATCCCATCAGCGGACACATTCCCTATGAGTTCTATTTGAACCAATTAATGGTAGCTATGGTCTTTTCTTTAAGTAAACATTTAAATAATATGGTTTTTGTTTTACATTTCAGGTGTATTTGTAAAGGTATGTACATGGAAACATTTTCAAAAAATAAATACATTCTCTGGAATAAAGTGTAACCTAAACTAAATGTATATCTGATATCTTCTGAAAAAGTGCAAGTGCATCTTGGGAATACATACACTTGTTAATGAGAGTTTTTTTTTGGATACACTCACTACATTTGCTATTCCTACTATACCGCCGAAGAAGCCTCTTTTGCTGCCACTTTCCACTCCTCCTTTCTGGCCTTGGCTGGCCCCTTACATTAGCCGCACACACAGGGAGCGCAGCTAACTAACCAAACTGGCCAAATGCGTTTCAAAGTAGAAGGCTAAGTCCCGGCACAGGACACTCGCTTCTGGCTCTGGCTCTGGCTCTGGCTTTTGCTTTGACTATGACTTTGGCTTTGGCTTTGAATCTGGCTTTGACGCTAACTGTGACTCTGGCAAAAGGAGGAGTTCCAGCTCCAGCTCCAGCTCTAGGTAAAGCTCCTCCGTTCCACTTGGGGCGGAGCAGTGCAAAGTGGGTTGCGCATCATTAGCACAACTAATGGATGTTCACTTTTCTTACTTGGCCAAGTCGTGTGGACCGGGCCAAATTGCAGTGCGGCTATAGGCGAGAGCGGGCAGAAATTTAAATAAATTAAAATACCTCTCAAAGTGCATTTGCCAGGAGTCGGGAGTGGGGGAAAAGGAGTCGTGTTCAGAGTCGTGTTCTCGCTTCCGTATTTATTAAATTCTAAATACACGCTGATGGATGCACTTAACTGCATCTTATGGATTAAAATATTTCACGTAATGCCGCTGCCTCCTGCCAACTGCACGTTCCGGCGCTTTGGCCAATTTGAGTGATTGCATTGCGCGCATTTAAATGGAGGACCAGGTCCCTCCCTCTTCATCCTAAACAAGTTATACGTGCGGTCGCCGCTGCCTAATGGACTTTTAATCTTTACAACTTGTAAGAAATTTCGTTTTGAATGGCGCCGACTGCCGCTAACTGCTAGGAGCAGATATTAGATTCATTTTAAGATGCTTTCAAAGTATAGTTTCTTTATAGTACAGTAAAGAAGGATCTCTCGAAATAAGATTTGAGAACATAAACCACAAATATATTACAACTGGTTGCTCCCTCTTTGCATCTCATTTAAGGAAGTCCAAAACTGGATTTGTTCCGAAACAGGGTTAAGTATCTCCAACAGTCGCCTCTTAGTCCGGAAGCTAAGCTCGTAAAAAATCGCAGAAATGACGAACAAATTGTCAAAGTTCGACGGAGACTTTATGGAAAAGTCCTGCCTCGCATGAATCAATCCGGCCTCCGCCTTTAGAGGCCAAAAAGCCAAGTCTTGGGACTGAGACTGAGGCTGCCACTGATGATGATTTACGCTCGACGAAGCGTAATTAAGATTTATGCTCCATACTCCATACTGCTGGCAAAATTCATATATGTATATGAAGTATGCACATAGTTGCCTTAATTGTTAGTTATGCGCTTTTGTTTGTGCGACATTAAAACTAATTAAGTAGAAAGAGTTCCTATAAGATTTATATGCATCAACGATTGCCAGTTGTTGTTACAAGTGTGTGCGGCATATGCGGTGTATGAGTGCTGCAAATTAAAGCAATTAGTTGCATTTTATGACAATGGCCAGAAAGTACAAAAGTGTCCCCCGGGCCGGGAAGCGTAGAGGAATAAAATATGTATTTAGGGCCCCAAGGGATGGGGGCCTGCCCTAATGAGCGGGCGGTGGCAGGTGGCAAATATTTGTGCACCTTGATTGATATCAGCCAGAGGTTGTTTTCACAATTGAGATATTATGAATTAATTATTACAATTATCGAGAACAACAATGTCTTGGGCTGCCTAATTGATTGCCAATTCTTCGAGGAATTAAACCAGATAGAAATCAGCACCGAGCTTAATATAATTTGTGCTTTTAAATAATTTATAAAATGTAATATAATTTTAATGAAATTACCTTTCTACATTTAGTTATATTCAAGTACTTTTTTTAGATGGCTTTCATCCTCTCTTGCTACATTATTCTTGGCCGTTTTTCTTTCTTTTCCCACTTTTCCATAAGCCAAGTTTACCCACATTCTTTCAGCCTGCTTGCATATTTCTGCATTTAATTGAGCCAAATCTAATTTTTCTCGCCTTCTCCTGATTTTCATCGGCCTCACTTCTTCGGCAGTTTTCATTTTCCAGCTGGCGCTGTCGCTGGCCTGGAACTTTCAATCAACTTTCTGTTTACCTAGTGGCAGGCGGCACAGCCTTGCATTAATGCCAGGTCTGGGTTTCGTTTTGTTAGTGCCACTCTTGCCCCAAAGAAGTGGCATTCGGAATCCGAATCTGGCTTTAAACTGTGCACTGGCAGTGAGAACGAACGAAAAATGAGAAAAAATAATAAATAAGAGGCAAGGAAAGCGCAAGCGGCTGTCGTAATTTCAATTTCAAGTGATTTTCCTGCCTCGGCCGTTAATTGAATTTAAGCTCTGAAATATAATTTGGATTTTTGCATGCTCTGGCCACAGAGCGTAGCACGCCGAAAAGCGAAATCCCCCCATTGGAAAGTCAAAGTCGAAGGCAGAACCAAGGTGAGGCATGGACTGGAATTGCAAAAGGTGAACAACATGTGGAGCCAGAGCCAGACCCAGAGATGGAGCCAGGGCTTTGCGGCAAAAAGCGTGGCCAGTGGCATGCAGTCTTTATTGTTGCAGCAAAGAGCAGCCGTCGACATCATCGTCATCGTCATGACGTCGTCGCTCGTCGCTGCCATGTACAACACCCAAAGGTATCAGCAGACAAAATGCTAAAAATGTATTTACCACAAGACACAGACAGAGGCACAGGCAAAGGTAAAGGTAAAAGCACAGCCTGTGCTGCTCCCGACTGCGGCTGCCCTTAATGGATCCGCAGCACTTTGAGTGATTTATTTCACACGTTGATGAAATGGACAGCAATGGGCCGCATTTTGACGTTTATTGCAGCAGTGGCAAGCACTCGCAGCAGCAGCAGCAGCATCGCCAATGGAAGCAGCGCAATGCCCACGGCATGTGTTCTGCGCATGCGCAGCCCTTTAAGAACAGCAAACCGAGGCGCAGACGGCGACCAGGCTGGAGCCAGGCAACGAGTGTCAAAGGAAGCTGGTAAAGGTCCCATTGAAATGCTCTTTCTCAAGGATGCCACATGTCGTATAAAGGATTAATCTGGTTTAAGTATATTCTTACCAGTTAAAGAACAAAAGTGTAGTCGTTCTGAGAATGATTTCATAGGCAAACCTTGAAGTATTCATTTGCTTCACATTTTTTTATTTTTTTATAGCTTCAAAATGTATCTACGATTTTTTATCTATTCCTTAAATATAACTTTAAAAATAATGAATACAATTTACGTACATCATGTTATTGATAACTTAATAAGGGCATTCCTTAGTCGCATTAATCTCATTTGTACAACATTTTGCTTTTTTAATATTTTTCTTTTCCCTGCTCGTTTCTGCTTTTTTTGTGCAATATTATTATACCCTTGCAGGGTATTATAATTTAAATAAGAGGCTTGTAACGCAGTGAAAAAGTTATTTCCGACCCCATAAACTATATGTATTATTGATCAGCAGGAAAAGCTGAATCGATCCAATATTGACCAGTTACAAAAAAAAAATATCGATAATTTTTCAATGTCTTATAAGGGATTACATCGTTAAAATTGTAAAAAAATTAAAAATATTGATGTTTTAAATTTTAAAAGTATGTATGCAGAATTTTTAGCCCTGTAAACACTGCAACAGGAAAGCCATTTGAATTGAAATTAATGCATTTTTGGCTTAGTTATGATCTTTGAAAAACTTTGATTTCACCAAAAAATTAACATATAATATGTTGATTTAATTCACATAGATGACCCTTATTTTCGGTATACGAAGACCAAGAATCCAATGAGAGCCAAAATTCTTATGCATTTCTTTTCTTAATCTTAATCAATAAAAACTAAAAATCATTTGACAATGAATTCATCAATAAATTTAACTGTATTTTCAAAGTTTTCTTATGGGGAACTTTATTAAACTAGTCAAAAGTCATTCATAGAATTTTTAAGTTTTTTAAAAACTAATTCCCAATATGCCAGTATCCTTATAAAAGCTTTCTATACTGAGAGTAATGCATATTCGGCTTAGTTATGATCGTTTCCATATTCTACCCCATGATCCTATGGCTAACTGCAAGGGTATACAAACTTCGGCCTCTCAGAGTTGTTTAAATTCTGTGTTCTTTTTTTTCTGTATTTCTTTTTTGCAATTGCATTGTGAGCCTTGCACGTCTTTTGGTAATAGCCCCGGCGACCGTGCCCGCTTTAATGAGGCGCGCTCCTCAGTCGGACGCCACGCATTTCGTAAGAGTAGTTTTGTGGCCGTTTACCAAAACGACGGATGTGACTGGCAGGGCCAACTCTCGGCTATTAAAACATTTAATTGCAACTTAATTAGTTGAGGACACGATGGAGCACTTCTCACGAGTGCAACTCCGCGAGAAATGCCAGCGTTGACCCCACCGAGTCAAGTCGAGTGCGGGGTCGAGGGTCGGGTTTTCGCACAGTTCCACTCGGAAAACGGCACTCACGGAAAAGCCATTGTCGAGCTGAGAGCGTTGACAAAACCCCCCAAAACACCACCACCACCACCCTTGAGAGATGGAAAAGTCAATTTAACACATTCACAACGCCTCTTAAAATGTTGATATTTTAATTAGTTACGCTCTAAAGGATTTTCCACAGCCAAGTCAAGGTTTCACCCACTCCCAAAGAAATCGAACCCAACGACTGTGGACCACAGCCTGGATCACAAACTCCAGTGAATGCAGCTGGAGAAAAATAAAGTGCCAAAGGGCACACATGGCAAAGAGTATCTTGGCTTTTGTGGCTTTTGTTTTTAGCCATAAAGTCGCAGTTTAGTGTGAGTTTGCTGTACACTGGTGGAGATTTTTTGGGATTTTTAAGGGTCTCTCAAAGAGTTTGAGGTAAGGATA